ATAAGTTTTCATAAACTCTTTATAGAAGTTAGCAAACTTTTGTTTTTAAATTTCTCTTCTTGTAACCATTTAGCACTTTGTCTCTGCCTACCTTCAATGACTCTGACTGGTTAGGATACAGACAGTGGGAGATATTTTTAACTCATCATAAATTTATGGGGGTGATAAGTAAGTTTATAGTGTTTAGATAATTTTCACTCAATTCCTTAAGTACTGTTAATACAAAAGAGAGAAAAGGTCTTCAGTGGGACTCACATGTCAGTTGTGATACAATTGGTGGTATCATATTTAATTTATTTGACTAGTTTAATAAAAAGTAATGTTAAATGCTGTGGAAGTATGATTTCCACATGCAAATAATTACTGGGTTTGAAAATATTTGATTCATGACCTTCAGATTAAGTGTTAGCAGCTGATAATGCCAAGTGTGTCTGTTAGGTTAAGCCAAATGCCAGTTGGAAAACTGGTTCTGAGTTTTAAATATTTGGCTTTTAGGAGGAAAGGTTTAAAGAAATTTCAAATCTTTAAAAGTCATTATAATTGAAGTTAGAAATTGTTTTTGTTAAAGAGCCTGGACTCTTCATTTGGTCCATGGGTCACTACACATGGGCTAAAAGCAGGCTAAAAAATATCCTTGCCTGCATTTTGCTTCTGTCTTCTTGTCTTAAAAAGTTTGGTTTAGACTCTTACTTTTTGCATGTAGGTGTTTATGCCACTCAAATGTTATTTGTCTGAAAAAATGATGATACCTAAGCTATAGCATCTCCTTGTAAGCCTGGATGCACAAAGACAAGAGTGAGAAATCTACTGTCCCCTCTATAGCATCCCTTTCTAGACTCCAAAGATGCTCCTGCATTTCTTCAGTGATTGCCGTAAGCCTGGAGTCAGCCTGGATTCTAGTAGAACAGTAGTGCCCAGGCCACTATGCGTGAAAATCAGGAGCAGTCTTCCCAGGAACTAGACCATCCCTAATGATGACGTCTTCTTTGACCTGACTTGTTAAACAAAAACCGAGACCAGACTACAGTTTCACTGTGACTCTTTAATGATGCATATCTCTTGCCTTTATGGTTCTTGTGTTTAAGCATAAGCTGTTGCAAGTATCCTGAAGATAGACTTGGGGTGGGAAGGTACAGAACTCCTTTTTCTGTTCTTCACTGTGTGCTCACTTAGATTAAATCTGGTGATTGCAGACAGCCTAAGGTTTTAAAAATTCTTAGCGTGGTTTTAAAAATTCTTTCTAAATGTATGTGTTATGACTGTTTTGCCTGCATGTATATGTGTGCACTGCATGTGTGCCTGGAGCCTGTGAAGTTCAGAAGGGAGCATCAGACAGATCCCCTGGAACTGGAGTCACAGATTACTGTGAGTCTCAGCACCCCATAGGTGCTGAGAATCAAACTCTTGTCTTCTGAAGAGCAGCAAGTACTCTAAACCACTGATCATCTCGACTGTTCCTAGATTTTAGTTTTTATGATTTACTTTGAAAGAGTTTCAAGGTTAACTGCCAAGAAGTGCTAACTAATTAATTCCAGATTGTGTGCTGGAATTATACTACAGAATTCTTTGGCCAATGCTATTTGGGCTTCAGTCCTCTTGGTAAAACGAGATGTCACAGTGTCGCATAGTATCTTAAAATAATCTGAGACATCAAAGGATGATTTTTATAAAAGGTTCCTACATACTGCTATTTTGAACTGTGATGGGAGCTCATTCATGGGAATGGCTACTAAAGTTTATACATGAATAGAAAGAAAATATATATACACATAATACATACACCACACACACACACACACACACACACACACACACACACACACACACACATATAAATCCTGTCTCAAATATATCTCTCTGTAGCCTTAGCTCTCCTGGACTTGATTTGTAGACCAGACTGGCCTCAAACTTACAGCAATCTGCCTGCCTCTGTTTTCCCGGGTGCTGAGATTAAAGGTGTGGGCCACCACGCCCCGCTTGCTTATATTTTTTAAGGAGTGAAGATTTTAAAATTTCTTCTCAATGCCTTTTTAAGGCATGGTATTACAAGACAGTGAAAATCTGCTCACTTAAAGGGCAATACATTATTTTAATAATTTCAAGTACACTGAGAGCCTAAGGCTGCTAGTAGGTGAAATGCATTTTTTTTTTTACTGTGTTCTATACATTTCCATTTTTTCCATCTCATACCATCAGCCTCCTGAGATTTTGAACCTCTCCCCTATTTGAGTTTTTCTAGGTGAGATGATCTGTGAGCTAGCTACTAAACATAGCCATTGTTAAATATCAAATTACAGAACTTAAATTACAAAATGGTACACAGAGTTTCAACAACTTATCACTTTGCATGTATCATATACCTGTCTGTTATGGTATGAGGTCACTTGTGGCCATTGTCTCTGAGGTGGTGGACATACTAATATCATGTGCAGCTCAGTACTCTCCCAGTCCTGTCTTTAATCATTGAAGTTGATTGTGTAAAAACGTTTATGAAGCAGTGAATGGTGAAGGTCATGAGTCAGCTTTTGCTTTTGTGTTTTGGAAAAGAGAGATCATTGTTTGTGGACCACACCACGGCCTTATTGCCAATTAGCTTTCACTTGCCTTGCTTTCAGTCTCCTAATTATGTGTCTCCTTTTAATACAACCCACAATGCCTAATTTTCTTAAAGCTGAACAGGATAAAGAATGAATTCAAACCAACATGAAGAAATCTTTTTACATTAGTAATTCAGAAAGGTTTACATCTCTGAGTACCATATCCTAATCCTGGCAATAAGGCATCACCCCTTTTTCTATTTGCTTAACAAAAATTTCAAATGAAAATAACAATGCGCTCATGGTTATAAATATTCTTCAGCAATTGCTAAATAGATATAAAAGTGGTGGCGAACTCTTGCTTCAAGTTTATGAAAGGGTGAACGCCTACATCATAAAATCACACCTCACATTGCTGTCTCAGTTTCACCTTCTATACTGACTGCCACCTACATTTCGGCGTCACAGACACACATGTGTCAGCATGCACAGTTCAGTGAACAGAAATTTCACCTTCTGTGAGATGCTAGGGCAGTGGGTCCCTAGTTGTGCCACCCTTTCTCAGATGAACCACCACTGGCTCTGCATGATTTAGAGCCTCTTTCCTGAAGCATTCAGGCCACTTTCACGAATAGTCACTCTTTTTTTTTTCCCCTCCAGTGAATCACCATGGGCTGTGAAAGACTACATCTAGTTCACCCTTTGTTAAAAAACCTTTTTGTTAAAATGTAAACTTGCAAATTAAAGGGGGAAGGTGACATAGACAGCCTGACACAGCCAGAAATGCCTGGTGAAATTACTTAATCATAGGGATGGACCTAAATTTAGGTCAGTCTTAAAGACAAATTACAGAAGAATTAAGGACATAGGGCAGGTCTTAGTGAGCAAGCTGGAGACGAAAGTAGTGTAAAGAAGAACATGGACCCTTAGATGGGAGGAATGAGGGTAATCAAGAGGGCCACCTGGAACAGTACCAAAATGTTGAGATTTCACATGACATTTCCTCGCTCTCTCAAATGACTTTGATAGAGTATTTTTTTTTCCCCTGTTACATGTTCATCTTGCTACTCAGATACTGACTTTTGGGGGTTTAACATGCATTTTTTTCTTTTGCATCATTAGAACGTCGCAGTGATAATAAATCTTAGTGTTTTCTAGGGTACAAAAAGAGGTGTTGAGGGAGAAACTAGTTTTTTAAATGGCTTATAATCCAGATGATTTCCTTTATTAAACAAATACACAGCATTTGCTGGGCTGTGGTGATAGTCCACAACTTTAATCCCAAATGCTGGCAGAGGCAGGCAGATCTCTGAGTTTGAGGCCGGCCTGGTCTACAGATTGAGTTCCAGGACAGCCAGGGATACAAAGAGAAACCCTGTCTCAAGAAAAAAACAAAACAAAACAAAAACAAAAAACAAAAACCAAAAACAAAATTTAAGCTGAGAAAAACTTCAACCTCATTCTTTTGATATACCTTTAGAATTTTCTATTGATTTATTTATTTTTCACACACACACACACACACACACACACACACACACACACACACACACGCACACATGTTTGGCTTTAAGCTCACTATATACACAGGACCTGTATAATCATCTTCTTTTGGCCTCAGCTTCTCAAGTTCTGGGCATGTGTCATTATGTTCGGGTTGACTTCAAACTATTTTTAATTGAAAATGTTTAGTATTGTCGTGGTCTGAATGAGAATGCCCGCATAGGCTCATATGTTTGAATTCTTTGTCACCAGTTCATGAAAATACTTGGGAAAAATTAGGAAGTGTGGCCTTTTTGGAGGGTATGTCACTAGTGGTGGGCTTTGAGATACGTGGTGTGTGTGTGTTAGAGTTTATGATTTCTGTCTTTTTGAAGGCTATGCCACCTTTTTCATAGTAGTTAGAAGCATCATGTTTGGACAAATAAGGTTACTCTGTTTACTTCTTCCATCAGCTTCTCTCATTTCCATCATAAATTGTTACGCACTAAATTTGTAATAAATATCTACAGGGTAAGGAGGAAAGATGATGATAATCCCTACCTTCGAGCAGTGATGTACAGATAATTATATTAGCTAACTGGTATAAAGTATTCACCGTCTAGCTGTATATTCAGTTCCTTTAATAGCTAACTCCTTGCTGAATACCCTAGGCTACACTGATAAAATTATATGAGTACTGACTGTCTTTTGTTTCCCCATTTTATTTTTCTCTTGGGAAAGACTATACTATAATATATCCCACATCTATTCAAAAAGAAGTGATGGTATGAGTTCATAGGTGTTGATGTTTATATGGGTATATCAAGTAAGATATGAATTATCGTATTTATATAAATTGTCTTATTTCACTTTTGTATTCCTGTATGCGTGCTATATTTTCTGCATGACAGTTGGTATAAGAATCATGTCTGTATTGGAGACCTTTCAAGTGAATATATCTGTCTGCCTCCTCTCTTTTAGCTGGATCACACCAATTTTGAAGAAAGGGTACAGACATCGCTTGGAGTTGTCAGACATATATCAGGCCCCTTCTACTGATTCAGCTGACCACGTGTCTGAACAGCTAGAAAGGTATGATCTTATCCATGACTTTACTAGCAGAAGATATTTTTTTTATGTCTTTTAGAGATCAGAAAACTGGCATGTTAAAGCTTTAATTTTAAAATGCTGCATTTAAAATAGAATAATCTGCTCTTGATGAATCTTGACCAACTCGAGAATTAAACAATGAAACTTAAAGATAATTTTCTTAAGAAATGGCAATACCATGCAGTTTACTGTTGCTCTGTAGTACAGCTTGTGATCAGGGATGGAGATACCTCCAGACAATACGTTGTTTTGGTAATTCTGGGTTGTTTTTTGTTTGTTTGTTTTTCCATATGAAGTTGAGAATTGTTCTTTCAAGGTATGTAAGGAATTGTATTGGTATGTTCATGGGAATTACATTGAATCTGTAGATTGCTTTTGGCAGAATGGCCATTTTCACTATGTTAATCCTACCAATCCATGAGCACAGGACATCTTTCCATCTTCTGATATCTTCTTCAATTTCTTTCTTCAGAAACTTTTACACAATGGAATACTACTCAGCAATTAAAAACAAGGAAATCATGAAATTTGCAGGCAAATGATGGGATCTAGAAAAGATCGTCCTGAGTGAGGTATCACAGAAGCAGAAAGACAACACGGTATATACTCACTTATAAGTGGATACTAGACATATAATATAGGATAAACATGCTAAAATCTGTGCACCTAAAGAAGCTTAGCAAGAAGGAGGAGCCTGGGTAAGATGATCAATCCTCACTCAGAAAGACAAACGAGATGGACATTGGAAGAAGGAGAAAAAAGAAAACAAGAGAGGAGCCTACCACAGAGGGCCTCTGAAAGACTCTACCAATCAGTGTATAAAAGCAGATGCTGAGACTCATAACCAAACTTTGGGCAGAGTCCAGGGAATCTTATGAAAAAGGGGGAGATAGAAAGACTTGGAGAGGACAAGAGCTCCACAGGGAGAGCAACAGAACCGAAATATCTGAACACAGGTGTCTTTTCTGAGACTCATACTCCAACCAAGGACCATTCATGGAGATAACCTAGAACCCCTGCACAGATGTAGCCCATGGCGGCTCAGTATCCAAGTGGGTACCCTAGTAAGGGGAATAGGGACTGTCTCTGACATGAACTCAGTGTCTGGCTCTTTGACAACCTGCCCCTGAGAGGGGAGCAGCCTTTCCAGACTATAGAGGAGGACAATGCAGCCAGTCCTGATGAGATCTGATAGGCTAGGGTCAGAGGGAAGGGGAGGAGGACCTCTCCTATCAGTGGACTTGGAGAGGGGCATGGGAGTAGATGAGGGAGGAAGAGTGGAATTGGGAGGGAATGAGGGAGGGGGCTATAGCTGGGATAGAAAATGAATAAACTGTAATTAATATAAAAAATTAATTAAAAAAGCAATGGCCTCTTCCCCTCTTGCAAAAATAAGTGATGTATGTTCTGAGAATTTCTATATCTTAAAAAAAAAGATAAAAGAAGAATTAGAAAGATTAAATAACATCATTGTATTGCAAAGCATCTATATTTGTTTTCAAAATGTTTGTGAGGATATGGATAGAATACAGGCCTTGCAACTGCTAAGTAAACACCTTAACTATGAAGTATATTCTTAGTTTTGGTATTTTGAGAAAAGATCTTACTATTTAGTCCAAGCTAGCCTTATACTCACAATGGATGAGTACTCAGGATGGCCTCAAAACCACCTACTTTTTGCCTTGGCCTACCAAGTTCTCATACTATAGGCATGTGCCACCATGTCTGGCTTGCTTTCAAAATATTTTTTTAATTGGAGATGTTTATTATTATGGTAGTCTCAATGAGATTAGGCTCATATGCTTGAATACTTGGTCCCAAGTTGGTGAAGCTGTTTGGGAAGTATTAGGAGGGTATGCCCTTTAAGGTTTCAAAAACCCATCCTATTCCCAGTTAGCTATCTCTGTTTCATGTTTGCATCTTGAGATGTAAGTTCTCAGCTGCTCCAGCACAGTGCCTGCCTGGTGGTTTTATTATGATTGTATAAAGTAGGTTAACTTTCTGATATTAATACAAAATATTTTAGGATTTTTTGAGATAAGAACTTAAAAATATTTAATTATTTTCTTTTTAATTTTTGGTTTATTTTGTTGAGAATTTCATACAATAAGTTTTGTCAAGTCTTTCTACACTCCCATCCTACAGGATGCCTTGTCTTATCCTCCCTACCCTTTTTCCTTCCCAACTTCCATGTGAACTTTCTTAAAATGCACTGTTCCACTTAGTGCTACCAGTATGTAGATAGATCTAGGACCATCTACTGGGTAACCTCTTGGGCTGAAAACCAACTCTTCATTAATTACCAGTAGCTCCCCTGGTAGTGGTTGAACTTCAGAGCCCCCTCCCTCACAATACTCTTAAAATCACCCCACATCCATTTCCATGATAATCCCTAGCCAGATAGGTGTCTCCACAGTCACTTCTTCTTTACACACTGATCAGTTGTGGGTCTCTGAATTAATTGCTATCTACAGCAAAAAGAGGCTTATCTGATGATAGTTGAGACATACTCTAATCTATTGATAGAAGGATAAGAACTTAGAATGTTATTCCTGTACTATGTGGCTAATACCTGCTTATAAGTGAGTACATACCATGTGGCTTTGTGGCTTACCTTACTCAGGATGATCTTTTCTCGTTCCTACCATTTGCCTGCAAATTTCATATTTCCTTTGTTTTTAATAGCTGAGTAGTATTTCATTGTGTAAATGTACCACAATTTACTTATCCATTCTTCAGTTGAGGAACATCTAGGTTGTTTCCAGATTTTGGCTATTACCCAGCAGATGTTGAGGCTCATAGCCAAACTTTGGGCAGAGCTTAGAGAGTTTTATAGAAGGGTTGGGGGAGGGGGAAAATCTGGAAGGGATAGGAGCTCTAGAAGGAGACCAACAAAGCCAACAAATCTGGGCCCAGGGGTCCTGCAGAGACTGATGCACCAACCAAGGACCATGCATGGAGAAGACCCTGCTTGGATGTAGCCAATAGACAGCTCAGCCTGCACGTGGGCTCCCTTGTAAAGGGAGCAGAGATTATCTCTGACATGCCTGCTCTTTGATCACTTCCTCCCAGTCAAGGTGGCCTTCCCAAGCCCCAAAGGAAGAGGCTCTAGGAAGTCTTGATGAGACTTGATAGTCTCGATAGTCTCGGGTCTGATGGTAGGGGTGTACGACTCCCCTTTTCTGTGGTCTAGGGAAGAGAGATAGTGGGTAGGACCAGGAGGAAAGAAGGGAGGAAGCTACAATCGAGATATAAAGTAAAAAAATATATATTTATATAAATATATATTAAATGTAAGAACTTAGGGATCAGGTTAATACTATGTTCACTTAGAATAATAGTCTTAGGGTCTCTCCCAGGGCTATGATACAGCCCAGAAAATGGTACTAGGTATTACTTCCATCCCATAAAGTGGGCCTTCAATCCAGTCAACAAGGAGTTGACTACTCCTGTACCATTCCTGTCATGCACTGTCCTTCTCACGGGCATGTCTTTCCAAAGCCAGTCTTTGTTGTAGCTCACAAGCTTTACACCTAGGACAGACTCTTTTAATTTTTTTCCTCCAGCAGCAGTCATGTGATCACTAGCCACTAAGGATGAAGCATCCTGGTTGCTACTTGATTAATTTTTCCATGTCTTCTGACTCAAGTATGTGGGTGACATCAGCGTAGGGTCTTGAAATCAAACTCAGGGAGCTAACCAAGAACACTGACAATAGATAGACTGTAATATTTGTGGGGTTTATGGGACTCCAATAACCACAAACTCCAGAATTTGGCACTGGAATTTTTATTTGCTAGCCTGTGGTATCTAAGAGAGGTATCATCCCTCTGTTATAAGGTAACATTTTTAAATGTCTTTTATTAAATGTATGTATATATTTTAGGAAACTTTTTACAGTAAGAGGTTTTCATTATTGCTTTTGCTGGCCTAGTCTAGTTCTTTTGTGTCTTCATTTGAATGTTAAGGGTCTCTTCGGTTTTTATTTCCAACTTCTGTGAAGTATTGCCTTGAGTTTTAATGAAAATTGCATTGGATCTGTAGGCTGCCTTTGATAGAATGGCCATCCTCATAATATCAATCCTACCAATTAATGAGTATAGGGGAATTCCATCTTCTAGTATCTTCTTAAATTTCTTTCGTGTCTTACAATTTTGATTATATAAGTCTTTCATTTTGATTAGACTTATTCAAATATAATGTATTTTAAATTATATATATTAATTAAAATTTTATTTTTTAATATTAGTTACAGTTTATTAACTTTGTATCCCAGCTGTATCCTGCTCCCTCATTCCCTCCCAATCCCACCCTCCCTCCCTCATCTTCTCCCTGCCCCTTACCAAGTCCATTGATTGGGGAAGATCTCCTTCAATCTGACCCTAACTTATCAGGTAACTTTAGGCCTGGCTGCATAGTCCTCTGTGGCCTAGCAAAGCTGCTCCTCCCTTGGGTAGGTGGGTGGGGGGAGGTCAAAGAGCCAGCCATTGAGTTTCTGTCAGAAATAGTCCCTGTTCCCCTTACTAGGGTACCCACTTGGATACTGAGCTACCATGGGCTACATCCAAGCAGAGGTTCTAGGTGATATATATACATGGTCCTTGGTTGGAGATACAACCAAATCTCATAGAAGACCCCTGTGCCCAGATATATTTGGTCCTTGTGGAGCTCCTGTCCTCTCCAGGTCTTACTAACTTTCCCTTTTTTCATATGATTCCCTGCACTCTGCTGAAGGTTTGGTTATGAGTTCAGTATCTGCTTTGATACACTGCTAGGTAGAGACTTTCAGAGGCCCTCTGTGGTAGGTTCCTGTCCTGTTACTTGTTTTCTCCTATTTGTCTTTCTAAGTGAGGGTTGATCATTTTACCCGGGGTCCTCTTTGATTATTACAATTTATTCACTTTTTATCCCAGCTGTAGCCCCCTCCCTCGTCCCTTCCCAATCCCATCTTCCCTTCCTCTTCTCCTCCCATGCCCCTCCCC